TGGACTGGGTTCAACTGGCCCACTGACAGTTTCAGATTCTACTCCAAGTCAGTCAGAATGGCAGAATCTGGTCCTTAATGATTCGGGTTTGGGAGCTCTTCCGTTAATTTCAGTGTGGGAAAGACTGGGGCCTGATTATGCAGCGTGCTGATTCTGCATTAATTTAAGCCGTGGTTAACTAGTCTCACACTAATTGCCTCCGTTAGTCTCAGACCTGCCAGAATTCACAAAGAAGGATAGTTTTGAGATTGCTCAGTACATCTGGAAGGTTGTGATGAGTGGCACCTTGAGTATCAAGGAGATACATGCCTGAAGCCATGAATGGAGTGAAGGAGAGCAATGCCATATTGCAGTGTTTTTATTTATTTTTATTAACAAGCTCTAACCTTGCCAGTATTGTCCTTTTGACTTTTTGGCAGGCTGCATCTTGTTTCAAATATGGATGTGGTACATCATTTGAACCTCATTTTTCAACACTGAAAAAAATCCAATTTTAATTTCTGAGGACATTTAAAAATACTATTATATGCAAATTCATCTCCAGCTAAAGCATTAGGCATGTAATGTGCACTTTTATTTTATGGTCCCTTGAGTACAACGTATCCAGAAACTTCAAGGAACCTTGATGATTTTAGTTATAACAGAGTCTGTTAATTTAATAAAGTAAGGTGTCTGTTTTCCCTTCTGCGGCATAAATAACTTTTGTTAGCACTAATGAGAGTTAAACTCGTGCATCAGGGAGGAAGTAGACTCTTAAATCTTTTTATAACCACAAAAAAGGTTGAATTCTCTTTTAAATAATGGTTGCAAAATGACCATAAAACAGAGGTCCCAATGGCTCGTTATATTCTTCTCCGTTTGGTTTAAAGCTCCTGTAGTTTGCTTTGGACTTGAAATTGCAATGTCAGCTGTGCTGGCATTAAGGCCGAGCATTTAATTGTTTATCTGGAACAAAAGTGGATGCATAGGAGGAACAGTTTAGATATTTATTTTTTATGTTTTAGTCAATGACTAATTAGTAGGTGCTGCTTTTGCAGCTTGAAGATTTTATCTTACAAACTAAAGCTGCCTTTATTAAGAAAAGGCCTTTTCTCCCTCACACCTCCTTTACTTTCTACCTTCTTGATTTTGACGGTCACGAGAGCGGTAGTTCTAGGGAAGCTAGTAATGATTAGAGCTGGTTGGAAAGTTTATGTCTAAACAATGTTCCTGTTTTTCAGCTGGCTCTACGGTGAGTGTGTTCTTCAAACCAATGCTGCCAACAGGTTTATATAATAGAAACAGAACAATACTTCTCTTTCTGTGCTTCTTTTAAAAAAAAGAATCATTTTTATCTAACATTCCATCACAAATACCAAATCTCCAGGGGACCATTAATCTCCACTGTGAATTTAGGGGTTTAGCCACATTACCCAAAGGGAATTGCAGTGACTAAAGCTCTGCAAATCAAGTGGAGATTATCACACTCAGTCATGGATTAGGGTATAAATAATAAAAGTCATCTACTCTGCTAGTCTTTAGATCATTCCAGTTAAATCTGCTGATGAACTCATGCGATCTGGAGTATCTTGTAAACACGCTCCTTCCTCCTTCCCATATATACAGTTTAACCAGTTTTTTAAATTTGATACTTTTTTATTCTTAAAAATGAGTGTTTTTAATGCTTTGTTGTGAAGTTATTATTATTAAACTTCTCAAACAGAAGTTGGGAAAAAACCTAGCCTCTCTCTGATGGCTAGAATGGGAGCCATCACTTGTATCATTTGAAATATTACCAGATTTGGAGGACTTGGTTTTAGTTCCTATTTTGCAATGGAAAACCCCCAAATTGTTGCTGACATATCTCTGTACATTTTATGCTATGTTGTAGGCATCTCAAAAGAAATATTTTTTGCTATTTTATTTTCAAAATGACAAAAAGAGTCTAGCAGTGTATGTGCTGAAGCAAGTTGGCAATGCCAGTGCTGCCATTAAAATACTAGACGTAAAAATAAAAGGTAAAATCCTGCGGCCCTTCTTAGGCAAACATCTGTTGCTGGGTGATTCTGAGTATGGTCTGTAGACCCCAGCCCAGCAGAAGAGGAAATACAACAGAATGCGATGAATAAAGCCTGCCTGGTTTAAAAGCAGAAGAGAATGAGACTTCAGGAGCATCTCTGTTTGCAGCATTATTTGCGGTGGGTGTGTAGAGCCAAATGACCATGTTCTACCCTAGCTATTAATCTACAGACACTGAGGAATATAAAATATATTGGACAGTATATCATAAAGTCCTATAAATTATGAAGTGAAAAATCATGGCAAGCCAGACTATTTCCATTTGCAAACAGAGTCTGCTCCAGAATTATTGCCAGGGCAGCACTACTAAAATCCAGGTTCTGCTCAGTGGTTCTTCTCATTCTAAAGCAGCAGGGACTTGATACCTGTGATGAACATTATGTCTTGTTAGAAAAGAATCACTTTCACAGATCTTACATTTGGTAAAAAGGAGAATTCAGAGCAGGGCGTTTCAGTTTATACAAAATAAACAAGTTACACACATGTTCATTTGAAGTTCTAGTATTATTTTCAGAGCGTGCTGGCTAGTGGCATTTTATGAGATTCCATCTAAAAGCCAGCTGTGGCCATATGCCTTCTTTGGGAGGAGAATGTATTTCCATATGCACATATGGAGCAGAGAGTATTTCCAAAGGCATTGTGTGGAGTGATGTGCTCATTTAAACACCCTGCCCCTGCTGCTAGGTAGACATGCGACACTTGTACAATCAGCCAGTCTGATTCAAGTCAGAAAGAAATGTGGCAAAACGCAGAACATCTGCATACATTTTTTTAATGAATTAAATCCAAAGTCAGTCCTAGTGCTATGCAGTTGCAGACCTATTTATGTGGTGATATTATATCTTGAGGCTCACAGAAATTAGTTCAAATGACCAGTTAGTTCCTTTTATTCATAAAGTTCGACTGCATGTATGGTAATAATATGTATATGTTAGGTTTCAGGTGTGTGATATTTTTAGTATTAAAATCATGTCCTCATTTTTGTTCCATGTGGGAGGTGGGTCTGAATGGGAAGAGTCCACTAACAATTCCCTCATTAGCAAGTGCTACTACAAGCTATTGTCTATTACTAGGCTTAGTGAGCGAGGGATATACAGTAGTAGGGTGTTACAGTTTATCATTCCTAAATACTGATGTGCAAAACTTCTGTAAAGATTGTTGATGTAATTACACATTAATGGTGATCCTGCTGCATCTTCCAAAGGATCAGCTAATGTGTATTCAGCCTTCGGCCATCTTTAGAAATCTAATGGTACCAGTAACATCACAATCCCTTTTATCCGCTATTATAGGGAAGAGGGCACTAGAGTCACTGATTCAAAGAACTGAGAAAATTCAAAGCTTACAAAAGGAGGAAAAGCAGGGTGAAGGAAGCACCAAACCTTAAAATAAGCTTGAGACAGAGCAGTGTTTCTATATTGCAACAACAAAGGGGAAGTTAAACTCCTTGATCATTTCCCTTCCAGGGTCAGAAGCACTGGCATTATTGGATCTTAGTTTTGATTAAAAATCAGACCCAGCTTTTTATTTTGTTTGGACTCTGTGGGCTCGTGTAGGCTACATCCCTCTTTCGAAAGAGGGATGTAAATTAGGCAGATCAAAAGTGCAAATGAAGCATAGATTTAAATATCTCACGCTTCATTTGCATAGTTGCGTCCTATCGCTGTTTTGAAAAAGAGTATTTTGAAAGTGAAACCGCAGTCTAGATGCTGTTATTTCAGAAAAAAAAAACCTGTTTTGAAAGATCCCGTACTCCTGAAAAAATTAGGAGTACGGGATCTTTCAAAAAAGGTGGGGTTTTTTTTCGAAAGCACCATGTCTAGACTGTGTTTTGAAACAGCGGTCGGATGCAAATGTGCAAATGAAATGCAGGATATTTAAATCTGCACCTAGTTTGCACTTTCAATCTGCTTAATTTACATCCCTCTTTTGAAAGAGGGATGTAGCTAGACACAGCCTATGTGGTAACTCTCCATTCATTCCAGTGGCAGGGACAGCCCTTATACCAAGGCTCAATCAGGTCCTGTGCCTTAAGGTGCGTCTGCACAACCCCTGGAGATGTGATTCCCAGCACAGGCCGACAGACACACGGTAGCTCTGCTGTGTGGTGGCAGCTGCTCGGGCCAGCCACCCAACTATGTCCAAGATGGGTCAGGCAGTAGTTGGGCTGCTTATCTTAGCTGCCGCTTGTGCCACACCAGCCACCATTCTGTTTTTAGTGCAGTGGTTTGAAAGCAGGCACTCTCCCATGAAGGCATAGCACAGCTTTTGTGGCTGTAATGTATATCAAAAAGGTAACATGTCCACTTGTGGTCACCAGGTAGAACGGTCTTGCCCCAGCCTGTGTTGTTTTTGGTGCTTTACACAAATGGTGGCTGTAGATCAGAGAGTAATTCTCACACCCATACATGTTTGTGCATTATTGCTGAACGTGTAGACTGGAATTTTCATACCTCCCACCCCTTGTGACCCAACCCCCCAGACTGCATTGAAACCCCAGATATAAATCAGAAAAGTTTGCTTTTGAAAGCAAATCAGTTTGTTCAGTGTGAAGAGAGGTAAAAGGGCCCCGTGACGGTGCTGGTAATCATCATCTTCCCACCGTTTATTTTTACAGAAAAGGACAAATGAATCAGGAGGTAATTAGCAGCAACTTCCAAGGTTCCTTACTCTAGTTTGCTATTGGGAAGTAACATTTTAATGTATGATTTCATTTCATCTTTACTAAAGAATGATCCTAGGCCCCAAACATAGCCTTAAGGGTGTGTATGATCACCGGTAAAAGTAAGGGAGGATGCACCCTGTGCGCAGCTCTAGTAAGAGGTGGCTGAGCTTCAGCAAAAGCCAGCAGGGAGCCATTTAAAAGAGCTGGCAGGGACCCAGGTTGCAATAGGACAGTACCTGTAAGAAATTTAAGT